AAAAAAATGCAGTAAAAATGGTCCTTATGTATCTATCTATATGAAGATAGAGCAAAAGACTAAATTTTTAAGAAAAATAAGGAACAATTAGAAAAATATAGAGGATTATCATAGGAGGATTAATTGGAGAAGGAAAAAGAATAGAAATATTTTATAAAATGTATCCTAGATGTCATACTAAATAATACATTGTATACATGTATACAACTATTCACAGTTTCCATGCACAGTTGAAACTATAACTGTCTTGACATTACTGACATTTTGACCAGATATCGTTTTCTTGGGAGGTGTAGGGACACCCGTGCATTGCAAGGTGTTTAGAAGCATTCCTGGCTCTACCGTGTGATGGCATCACATTCCCCCCCGCCCCCCAACACACACACATATACCATCAGTTGTGACAATAAAAAAAAAATTTCCAGGCCTGACAATACTCCAGTAGGACAAGGATGGAGTATTTTGTTTTAAGGCCAGGAATCAGAGATCAGCCTGCATGACTAAGGGACACCCCATCTTTACAAAAAATAAAAGAATTTCTGGGTGTGGTGGAATATGCCTGTTGAGCCAGCTACTCAGGAGGCTGAGGGCAGAGGATCTCTTGCACCTAGGCGTCTGAAGCTGCACTGTGCTATAATTGTACCACTGTATTCCATTCTGGGAAATAGACTGAGACCCTGTCAAAAAACAAACAAACAACAACAACAACAAAAAACCCCTCAAACCTGCACATGTTGTAAAATGTCTCTAAGAGAGGAGCAAAGAAAAATCCCTTCAGGCCAAGGGGATTTTTAACAAAATAAGTAGGAGAAATAAAAGAAAGAGTTGGATAGTTGTAGAAAAAAGGTAATATGGGTTCAGATGACTAGAAAGAGGATGGAAGTTTAGATCACCTTCATGTATGTAAGATGATCATTATTAGCTGCAACTCATCTGTTATAAAGTTGTGAAATATTATTTCATTTATCTATCAAATATTTTTTAAACTCGGAGCAATGGTATGAGACTCTGTTCTAGGTGATGGGGATACTATAATGAGTTTTACAGTAAGATGAAGTTAGTAAAGCTATTTATTTCTAAGTTGGATTGGGTAGTGTCAAGAGTGGCAAAAAGAACACAAACAAACCATACATATAATGTGAGGGGATGGGCTGATACAGAAAAGTGCTGAGACATCTGTCTTGAGCAACTGTGTAGCTGGAACAGCAGTGTTGGAGAGTGGGAGTTGGTGGAAAAATTACTTTCTGACCCAAATTTGCATCTTTCAGACAGACAAACCTGAACCCTCAACATTCTCTTACCTTCCAAATGACTATCTTCTTCCCCATATTGGTCTCCTGAGTCAAAACTGCTTCTATTTCTTTCTTCACAAGTTCCAGAGCCATCTGGAGCTGTACCTGTTTGGGAAGATGTGTCAAAACTGTTACAGAGACCAGATGTGTGAGGGTATACAAAGACCAACTAAAAGAGTCCCCAGCAAGCATATACAATTGCTTGACCTCAGTAACATAAATGTTTGTTACTATAAGATACAGTCTAAGATTTATCTAAAAGTTGTTCATTGTGAGGAAGAGTCAAGATGGCTGACTAGAAGCAGCTTTTGTCAGAGGGTCTGTCCAGAGAAAAAGATACTGGACAGAAGTGGACTCTGAGAAGACAAAGGTGGGTAGCTGAGCACAGAGAGAAGAGAGAGAGGTGCACATCATTGCTGCTGAGATAAGCTGCAAGTCCAAGAAAGAGGAAGAAAGACAACAAAGGCCAGGTATGGAGCCCATTGCCAAGGGGATGGGAGATCCCTCCCCCAAAAGGAGGTCTGGGGAGGGCCACTGAACAGTGAACAAAGGACCTCTCACGTTACCTGATGGGAGAAAGCTGCTAAGCCCCAGTCCCCCTCCTCCAGGGAGGAGGTCCCATCTCTGAGCCTAAATGTCATCCTGCCTGGCACAAAGTGGACAAATATTTTCTCCACAATTTGGAGCACATAGCTCACCCTTCCCCCCATCCTGCTTACCTGAAAGACTGCCCCCTACAGAGGCCAGACTGTTTGATGAATTCCCTGAGAGGCTTGGGTATTGTGTGGGCCACCAAACAGCAGTGTGGGAACAGTGGTGGGCATGGAAACAGTGGTGTGCAGGGAAATAGTGGGTGTTCAGAAACTGGTCCCAGGGTGAAACAGTGGCACCTCAGTTCTAAATCTGGCGGGGTGAGTGGTGAACTTTCCTGACTCCCTTTCCCACTAGAAAAGACCATTATCAAGCCCGTCAGGAATTCACAGACAGATTTGCCCACAGATTTATGTTTCCAGCCACTTGGCAACCCTTTGAACTCTATTGGCTGAGCAGTGCTTGCACTGCCTGTAGCAGTCTGATTAGAACTTTTCCCCTGAACTGTCCACCCTGCAACTCCCCAAAATTGAGCACTGGTGGTATTGCAGCAGAGAGGAGTGGATTCCCCTCCTCCAGCTACCCTAAGAGGGTCAGGGTGGGCACGAAGGGCACAGGGGCTTGTATCTTTCCCCAGCTGAAATTCCAGTGTACTACTGCAACTCCTTAGGATTGGATCGAGGGCAGGCTGATAATGAAGTGCAAGAGGCACTTTCATTATCTCACCAAGCCAGCCCTCAGGGTCTCTGGCTACAGCTCTGAAAGGGGGCTTTGCAAGGCTGTAAAGGAAAAGCCACAATCACAAGCCCCAGCTCATTGGTAAAGGATTGGTTAGCTCCAGCTTCTGGGGCCTCCCAGTCCAGACTCACCCTGCCAGTTTTAATTGCCAAACAGCTGAAAATATTCATGGGGAGAAACCAGCAGAAGAACTTAGGCTACATGAAAAATCAGAGTAGAGCAACTCCTCTAAGAGATTGCAAAGGAGATACAACAGAAAATTTCATCATGGAGATTTTGTTGAAATGTCAGAAATAGAATTCAGAATATAAATGGCAAATAAGATGAATGGAATGGAGGAAAAGATGGAAATAGAAATCCAAATAGTATTTCAAAAGTTGTTCCAAGAAATTAATTAATTCAAAGACCAAGTCACCAAGGATGTGGACATAATGAGGAAAGATATAGAGAACTTAAAGAATTGAACAAGACATTTGAGAAGATTCAAAATACAGCACAGATCCTCAGTAATAGAGTTGAACAGGGAGAAGAAAGAATTTCAAACATTAAAGACAAGGCTTTTGAACCATCCCAAGCATTCTAAGAGGCAGAAAGAAAGAAGAATAAGAAGGGAATACTCC